GGGAAAGAGACTTTGGCAGCCCCTTTGCTTGTCACCTAAAAACCCAGGAACTTGTGCTCACGTCAGCCAAAGGAGGAGCCCCGAGTGGGTAGTTAACTCCAGCCTTGACGTCTTTTATGTCCACAACACTTTTAATTTAATGGGGAAAGGGAAGAGCACCTTCTCATTTTGGAGTCCTCCTGTCCTGCCTGCATCATGAGGTGACACAAATTGCTTTGGATCCTTCCCTGGAACATCTTGCTCGACTTTGCTCTTTCTACAGGAGGAAACGAGTCCAGGTCAGAGGCTACACGGTCTCTTTTAAACCCTTATCCCAGCCCCAGCTGCAGTCTTGTCCCCCTGCACAATTAAGTTTGTTCTGGGGTTGCTGAGGACTCTGGAGTGAGAGCCCTGTGCTGTCGCCTCTACTTCCCCAGCCACAGTCCTGTGGAGGGTTGTACCAGGACCTTCTGACCAGGAGCCAGGCTCTCCTGCTCTTAGCCTCTAGTGTTTGGGGCCTTTGGAGACCTCTAGAGAACAGGTGTGCAGCAAAGCCCCTGCTTTAGCATGGAACAAAGTCTGAAAGGTAACTGCCAGCTGCACAGCCCAAACTGCAGGCCCAGGATAGGGGTTCTGCGTCTGGAAAGGAAAGAAGTCTCTGTCTGTTTGCCTAGCACACAAATCACACTTAGGCAACTCATTGCTTCTGCTGCAGCTGCAGTCAGAAGTCTCATGCAGGTTTGGTCCCTGTTGTGCAGGGCACAGCAGGTGAGTGCACCCAAGGCAGGAGCCTGCATTTGGCGTTGACTCGCTTTGGGGGCCAGCAAAATTTTCTGGCCACGGCTTGTCACAAAAGCAAGCAGAATCACCACCCCCCCTCCCTTTGTGCCCAACACCGATGGGGAATAATAGCCCTTTCCTCCCCTTGTTTCTCTTGGAAACAGTCCTGTGCTGCTCCCATTCCCTGCGTGCCTTGGGTAGAGCTGCTCTTGGCAAGGCACTCCTATTTTGCCCAATCTGCCTGGCACCGTTTCAGCAAGAAATGGAGCCCCTTGAGAGCCCCAGGATGGGGTGTTAGCTGGGAAGTCAGTTCCACCCTGCACACAGGTGCAAGGGTCTACACTTATTTTCAGTTCTTCTTTTTTTAGAAAAGTGGTAACGGGATGGCCAGAAAGGAGGGGAGCAGGAATCTAACATCAGGAGGTGGAGTATCTTTTTTCTTGGTTTGACCAGAGAGGCTATCTTGGACTTCAGAAACTCCAGCAATGAGTTCTGCCAAAGTAGATATGTTCCTATAGAGAAACAGATTTTGAATAAATCAGCACTTTCTAACTGAAATGTATTTAATGGCAACGTTTCCAACCAGCAGTAAGATTTTTTAGACCAGTGATGCTGCTCATCAGGCATTTAACCTGCCTGCACTGACCATTTGGAGGGGTAGCTGCATTTTACCTGCCACCAGGGAGCACTCACCCGCTACGCTGCTGCATGGATCGCTCAGCAGAGACCCAGCCTCCTTCCTGGGGCATGTCAAAGCTCTGGAGACACTGTGCTGGAGAACTGGATAAGTGGACCTGCCCAGCCACAGCCACGTACGTACCAAGCTAGCTTACGTTTCTAAAGGGGAGGAAAACGTTGAAGATGAAGAAGACTTGACCAGCTGCAGGCTTGGGTCTGTGCAGCTCTTGGCCAGGTGGTGAACTGGAATCTGACCGTTAAGCTTTCAGAGGTGTTAATTATTTGCCATATACTTGAATGTATGAGCTTATTTATTTTTTACATGTGCATTTGCTAATGTCATTTTAATGGGGAATTTCCAACCCACAGGTACTTTTTTTTCTAAAAAAAATAATCTGCCAAATGAATTAATATATTAGAAACAAACACAGCTCAGTGGGAAGGGGGGGGGGGTTGTGCTTAATAAATATTTGTGTCTAAGCTTCAGTGACAAAAAATTCTTTTCCATTATTTTCTGGCCAACCTGCCTGCTGTGCCAAAAGCAGAAGCAACGCTGGCCCTTTTGAGTGGGAGTGGGAGGGCACAATGCTTTTTTGTGGGAGATAGTACCAATTGCAAAGTGCTAAAAAAGGGTGTATGCACCCACCTACACCTCCCTTTACATTAAGAGTACATATTTCTCTTAGGGAGCAGTCACCATCCCCAGCTCTGCCTGCCTTAAATGCACAGTATCGAGCTTACTGTATTGGCTATGGAGGAAGGCTACAAAGCCCTGAGCATTCCCTGCCTCTGAGCAACAGCCAAAGCCCAGAAGTTACCAGGACAACAGGGCATTAAAAAGCAGCCCTGTAGCCTAGCCCCGGAAAAGACCTGCTTTTCTCAGTGAGCTTTAGCCCTTTTTTAGGAATGTGGCTTTACCTTTCCTTTCAGGACAAAGGGAGTGTTGCCCTGGCTGGGGTTTTCAGCCCAGCCCTCATCTATCTCAGTGCATTCTCGGCACCTGGCCCAAAAGCTGTGTCTTGTTTCCCTGGCTGCAGCTACCAGAGGAAAAGGGCAGCGAGTGCTGTGCAAAGCCCTGGCACGGGCCCTCAGCAAAGATACTCACAAGCCAGTGGGAAGCAGTGCTAGCTCATTCCAGCGCAGCAG